AGATGGAAAAGATTGGTTAGGATTCAGTGCTGACATCTTATAGCCCTGGAACACAAAAATCTGCTATGTATGCCCAGAACCACATCACATCAAAACAGAATCACTGGAACAAGCAAGCTGCTTTGTGAGCAGCACAGTAAATGCTGCTTGGCTCGGCTTTGTGCTATATAAGTTCCAAGGCTTCACTGCCCACTACCTTCTCCACATTTTCAATTTTTCAGCTTCCCACAGACCATTTGTGTAGCCTTCCCCTCCTAAAAAAACCTCAACAAAACCACCTTCAAAATACTTATTTTTTCTAACTAGCCCCAGTAGAACAGGCAAGAGGTGACACAAAGCACATGTGCCTGCTCACAGCTGCCTGGTGCCCGTGGCCTGGCTGACCACCACCATCCCCATCACCATCCCCAGCACCATCACCATCCCCATCACCAGCACCATCCCCATCACCATCCCCATCACCAGCACCATCACCAGCACCATCACGTGGGGCAGTGTTACTTTTCCCCTCTCTAAGGACTCTACATTGGCACATTTTTCTACTCTGGTGCCATCAGTGATCGTGGACCATGTAGGAATTTCTTGTCTTTGACACCTCTATCTCCAGCCTCAGAACTGAGCTGAGGGGGTCTCCAAAATTTTCAGTCTTCACTCCTCTAACTTGTTCTCTCAGCAAAGGCAACTCAAACTTTTCCACTGTTAGTGGATATAGTCACAATAAGGTAAAAGAGAATTGTGTATTTACTTACAAGCACACCTTCAGGTTGATGGAGAATGGTGCTCCTCTTGCATTTTCAGAGCTTCCAGATGTGTAGCAGGACAGGCTCATGGAAGATCTGGGAGCAGCTGCAGTCTTGCCATTTTGCTGCTCCCCATTTGTCTAGAACAAATTTATTTCTACCCTGTAGCCATCTCTCTGTTCTGAGGGTTACTAGTGAGAAGCACCTGCTGAAGACACTATTTGCTACTTGCTTAGACTCTATTTTGGAGAGGCTTACTAAGAACTTACTCAGCTATTGTCCTTACCTCAGCTTACCTCAGCAGGGCTCTCCTGTTGGTACCACTTCAGTCTCTCTTCAGAATGTTTTGGATCTTATTTTGCCTCCTGCCGAAGTATGCTGGAGACAAATGTTTCCAAAGATACTGTGTGTGTGTGTATGGGTGTGTGTGGACATTCCCTGCTCATTTATTCCAGTGAGATAAATTGGCCCTGATTGCTTTACTGCCTGAACATGCCTTTTCTGTAGTGCCTTCTAGTTTTCTTTGGCCACATTATTGACACTGGGTAATACAACATGAAAGGATTGTGGATGGGCTTTTACAAACAAATCAGCTTAAATAGCTATTAGAGGATTAAAAGCAATTCCATGGCCGGGATAACACATCTTTAAAATGCTGATAATATCAAGAAGCAAATGGATTTGTAATTTAATGGCAGCAGAGGGAAGACTTCAGATGTCTTTTTTCCAGATTTGATAGAAAGATTAAAGTGTCTGCTTTTATTGTGCAAGGGCTGGATAAAGCTGTACCATGGTTGCCTACAGAAAGCAGCATTCACCTTTCTTGTAAACAGTAATTGTCCCATGTGGAGAGAATTCTTCTGGTCAACATTTTTATTAAAACTTTAGTTTTCATGGTGACAAGCTGTATCATTGTCTGCTTTAAAAGTCTGATAATGATACACTTTAGCAGCTTTGAAAAAACCCTTTGTCTAGACAGAAACACTTAATAAAGCTTTTGAAATGTAGCGTTCACTTTAAACCTTTGCTGATACCTGGACAAAAGCACCAATCCATATTTAGGAAATCTTGTTTTCTACTTGCTTGTGACAAAATTGTGCAAAAGGTTTGCATAACAACAGGAACTGTGAGAAATAAAAACATACAACTTTCCTCAAGAGAGGTGTTCAATCTGAGACAGATTTTTCCCACAGAAAGAATTTCCTTTTACTCCAGATTTTTTTATATTTTTAAAAACAAATTAAAACACATGTGGCATTCTGGTTTTTGCATCTTCAGCATTGAGGTTGGATTGGGAGGTATTTTAAGGACATCTCCAGAACTGTTAAAGATGTATAGTCTGAAAATAATAGCTAGACAGCCTAGAACAGTGATGGCCAAGCACAGGCCCAGGGTGGGATAATTTCCACTCCATTAGATGGGACACTGAGGAACATTCCACGTGAGAGATGAAAAGGGGCAGAGTCACAGCCCAGTCCCCTTCTCCAGCCAGCTGCTCATGGAGAAGGTGGCACAGTGCACCATCTCCCTGAGGTTTGGGAATCAAGGATTGAGGCTCCTGGATATTTATCTGTCAGGGTCAGACCTCTGTGATAGCAATCTGACCTAAAAATTCATCTGTGGCCTTATCTGAAGTGTCCTGCCCAGGAAGTAATGGTCACTCTGGCAATTTTTATTTTTAATGGTTTGGTTTGGCTCGGCTATTTCTTGTCATTATATTATGAAGATTCTTTTCATCTTCAGACTGCTTTCCAAAGAAATAGGTTTCACAGAATTTGCCTCTGGTACTCCAAGGGAGTGTATGTTTTTTATAGATAACAAAGATTTAATCTCTATTTTGAGGGAGAAATGCCGTTCAGGCTTACAGAATTACCAGCAGCAATACCACATTCCCAGAAATCTCAAAATTGAATCAAAGAGAGAGACAGGTTGAATCTCTTGCCAGAGAAACACAAAGGAAACAGAAAAGCCGAGAAACAATGGAACCCAATCAGACATTTGGAACTCTACCTCGTTGTCCTCTTCCTTCTTGGGTAAGAAATACGAACACTGCACAGACAGAAATGAGTGCGTTGGCTCTGGATCTGAAATGTCCAGGTAAGTAAACCTCAATTTTTGAGTCTGGCAAACAGCCTCTGCAAAAGTAACAGCCCTCAGAGAAACAAAATAATCATTAGAAAATGGAGCTGGCTTCCGTGTAAAGGGTAAAAAACACCTGTGACTGCCATGGATGCAGGAGCTAAAAGTTGAGAATAGTCTTCTAGAAAGCAGCAGCGTCTTTTTATAACAAATTATTTTTATTAGATACCCAGAACACAAACCTGCTCCTTATCTAAATTTTAAAATCCAGATAAAAAATTTAGTTTAATTGCTGGCAGTTCATATTTACTCCCTTTCCATTTTCTCTATTTTTTCCTGAAAAATTATTACTCCTGCAACCAGAGCTGTCCTGTTTGTTATCAAATAAAAGTGAAAAAGACACAGGCAGGATTAATCACATTTTTTATTTAAAGGAAATTTATGGACACATTTTGAAATATTTGATCAGAATTTGTTCTTATTTACACATGAATATTTGTTCAGTCAGCATGACATGAAGGAAAGGCAAAAAGATGCAAAACAATTTGATCAACACAAGGCCAAAAAAGCAAAAGTTTGAAAGGTGTGTTGAAAGTGGGTGGGTAAAGTTTACTTCATATTCAGAGTGGGATTTAAGCCTTGGAGAAAGGCAGATTTTAAAACAAATTGGAGAGAAATTCTCATTTTAAGTAGATGCAATCCAAATTAAAGGTATTCCATAGTTTTTGAGGTATTAATTTTAAAAGCTGTATCCTTTGAAAAAGTAATACAATATTCTAAACAAAAGGAGAAATACCTGCATTTTCATGCAGTTGTAAACCAATATATTCAATGTTTCCCTTTTTGTACACACCAGTGTCTAACTGCTACAGGTTATATTTCTAGGCATATAATTTCTGACCTTCCAAAGACACAATCAAGACTATTTTGTCCATGAACTCAGATTTCAGAAAAGTAGGGAAAAGGCTTTCATTTTTTCAGTATCTTGAGTGAAGCTCTGCTTTTGAAGATGCAGTTTCACAGAACTCTGTTTCCCTCTTCCTAGCATTGACTGGAATGAGTGTCCAGCTTTATCTTCCTGAAAATTATCCTTAGAATAATGACCAAATAGCCAGTGTCCAGTGTATGAGCTGTTTCTTTCACTTTAGAAGATACTTTAAAAGAAATTGATTTCCAAATATAGCCCTGTTTATATTTGAAAAATTGTTGTTTCATAAATAGAACTATTTCTGTGAGATTTCTGAAATATTTAGGGAAAGATAATTAATCTAAATCTTACCTTCCCCAGTCCAAGTATTTGCAGTGCAGTGTATCTCAGGTTAGCAGTCAGGAAAAACAGACAGTAAAATCCACTTGACAAAGCAGGAGAAAGGGGAGGGGAATTTCCTGAAATGGATTTATCTGGTTTTACTGTCTCGAGTGAAAGGTGAAAGAAAATAGAACAGAATAAAAGCTGAATGAAAAGTAGAATGCACATGTTGCTCCAGTTTAACAGTCCAAAGGAAGCTTAGTAACACAGCTGAAGCAACCTGAGAGATAGCTGTTTAAAAATCACATTTAAGTTTCATACAGCAAATATTTAAAGTCCTTTGACAGATGGAAAATACCTCTTTTTTTTTTTTTGCCTTCCCCATCTGTTTTTCCTTTTCCCGATATTAATTTTCATCTGTAGAAAATTCCCCAGGATTTAGAATTGTTTTTCAGCCAAACTGGAAGCCTTCTGTGTCCAGAGAGGAGACCTAGCTGCCTGTCTCCTCAAATTCACTGTAGGGGGATGAGGCTGAAGAAGTTTTGGACTCTCCATCGCTGTTGCACTCCCGTGGGGAAGCCGGACCGGGAGTTCCTGGGCACTCCTTGCCACAGAGCGCTTCCTTACTGGCAGAGCCCAAGGGATGGCAGTCCAGCAAGCTCTGCAGGTGTTTGATGTAGCTTATTGCTGCTCTCAGGGTCTCCACTTTGCTGAGGCGCTTGTCTGCGAATTCCTTGGGCAGGTGCTCCCTCAGGCGCGTGTAGCCCTCGTTCACGCAGCGCACCCGCTGCCTCTCCCTCTCGTTCCTCTTCCGAATGAAGGCAGGCTCGAAGGAATAGTCATAGATACCCATGTAGCCAGGAAATGGGATGTAGGAGATGCGACCTGTGTGCCCACTATAGGCTTGTTCCCAGTAAGATGGGTCCAGGGGGAAGGGAACCCCAAAGGGCTCTCTCAGGGGTAACCCATGGGGGTGCATGGGGCTGTTAGCCAGGGACACGGCTCCTGGAAACGCAATCCTCTTCAACAGTTTATCATCGTCTTTAGTGCTGTCCATGCTTCTTTTTTTCTTCACCAGTGGAGTGTTAGCTCCCGAATTTGGCTTCCAATGTATTAATCCAACATTTGTATAGGTACCCTGCCCCACTGCAGCTTCCTCCTGCGGTGTAAAAATAGTCAGATCTCAAAGCAAGGCTAAGAACTCACGAGGTCCACACTGTGCCTGGAAAGCCTTGCTGTGTTTATAGGTGTAGGGTGCCAGTTAATGTACAGACAGGTTTTGAGGACCATCGCTCCACAATTTAAACCCTTCTTTTCCTGTGATCTTCATATTTCAAAAGGTAATAAGAGGGTTCCTGTGTATTCCTTTTCTCTCCACTTGAAATTATGACCGTAATAGTTAATGCCAAACATAAATAATCTTCCAGGCTCTAAACACTTCTCATGTATTGTAATCCATGATATCATTTGATATAATTGTCTCCAAAAGATGGGTAATTTGCAAAGTTTACAGGGATCTTCAAAGTTTTGGCAGAACTCCTCACTTTCAGGAACCAAGGATCTTCTGTCATCTGAAAACTACCCAAAGGCTTTTCACAATGAAATCCAGAAGACAACTGCAAGCTTTGTTGTTTCGGCTGCTGTGGTCTAACTGAATCAGCTCACAAGCAGTTTGCAAAACTTATAGGGCATATCTGTAGCTTTCTGGGGAAGCTGAGACATCTTCAAAGGAAAGAGTGCTCTCTTGTGGTTGCAAGTCTTGTCAGATCAAGAATGTAGGACGTGCATGCGTAAGAGGAAAACTGCCTTCTTTGCCCTAAGAGAGGTTTTTCTCAAGAAGTGTGAGTTTCACAAATTGAACATGAGTGTTTTGGCATTTTCAAACAGTTTTCAACGTTTTGTGTGTTTCTGCTCATTGTAGGAATGTTCTGGTCATCCCTATGGGAACTTGCCTCAGACAAACAAACACAAAGGTGATGTCCTGATAGCCCCAGGTGAAGCTATTACCAGATGTTTACACGGATATTGGCTTACCTGATGGACCCTACACACTGCTTTAATGGGAGAGATGAAAGTCCCTCTTGGCCGTGCCTGGTCTGTGCTGTCCTCCAGTTTTACCTGCAGCTTGCCAAAGCAAAGAGGTGAACAAAAGACATAAACTTAACACTTTTGGCAGTATAAAGCCCTAATGTCCTTGTCCTTGTTCTAACCATACACTACCCTGCTGTGTTAGGATCTTCCTCTGCAGCAACTTGACTGTCTTTGACTTTTCCCATGTTGTTGTTCAATAGCTCTGTAGTTACAGATTTTTGTTGAAAACACATACTCACAGTTAACTGAGTCTCCTTTTTTTGCCATCATCAGTTTGGAGAATGGAATGTTTGGTCTGGGAGAGCTGTGGGAAGGGACAGACATGAAAAGGTACAGGTGTGTAGGCTCTATTAAAATTGATCTTTTGCTCAAAGTGGAAGTTTCCACCCTGTTCAGTGTTTCGTACGAAACTGCCTCAGGAGTGTCAGTAACTGAAACAACATTCTCCACTCTGTGAAACACATCTGTGCCTCTGCTGAGCTAGAAACTAGCAGCAATGATGTGAGCAGCATGCACTTTTAAGTCAGCCTTTGTGTCTCTGCTGGCCTATTCTGCAGCTTCAAAAAAACAGTGGTAATCTTCAAATGTACAGTGAACGTACAGGCAGACCACCCCAGACCGATATGAGTGAGGACAGTCCTGGACTCTGGCTTATGTCAGGGGTGGAATCAGCATCAAAATGGCTCAAAAGCCTGAGAAAAAATTAATGGGGAATGCCCCAGGGTATGTACCGCTCATTTCGGATCAAATGAGTGAGAGTCTTTCTGCCTTTTAAAAAATCTTTGGAAACAGTTGATCAGGATGGACTTTTCAATATTACTTGAACTCTAAACTTTGTTGTCCAGAAATGTTGTCAGAAATGAATGCTTTAAGGAAAATAGCTCCTCCACTATAGCACTAGGCTAGGCCAGGACTTACAGTTTTCTTAAAACAAAGAGGATGTTGACCTCTTCGCAAATACCTGAAGCAGGCAAAGGCCATTTTATCTGTGTTATCATTAGATTTAAAACACTGCTCTCTGGCAGAATTCCTGTAAGGAAATGGCAGTATGCCTCTTGGGGGGCTCAGCTGCCAGATCATTTCACAGCTCTCCATGACCTTGCCAGCAGCCTGGCCATGTTCAAAAGGCAGGGTTACATTTCAGTTCTGTCATGCAAATGCACTGTGCCCTCCTACCAGACCTCTTTTCTATGTTTACTGTAAATGCAGGCCACCAGCACTTCCCAGAGTGTCAGAATTGCACCTGTGCTAAAGACCTCTTCTGACAGAAAAATCCACTTGCTAATCCTTTAGAGAAATACATGAAGAAAAATTATGGGTAAATGTTAATTGTTGACCTGAATGAAGCTGATCTCATATCAAACGGACTCTGAATTTGTTTGTGTGCAAGAGAAATGAGAAAATATGCCACAGGCTTTTGATGAATGTGGTATCTTGTTGACAATCTAATGTCACTTGCTGGGAAAGGGATTTGCCCCTGGGCAGAGAACCAGAGCAAGGCCAACACATCTTACATCCCACTGCAGGTCCTTGTTGAGAGCGTGAGCAGGATTAAAGCAATTTACCTTTCCTGTACCGATTTCTGCACAAAGTCTCCACATGTCTGCACATGCAGACATAGTGAAAGTAGCAGGACTGGACCACCAAAGGGAAAGGCTAATTCTTTTCAATTTTAAGAGTAGGTTAAGACTACATGAATAATGTTCCTCTTTAAAGATAAGCCTTTGATCTTCTTTCTAACACTGTTTCTCCAATTAAGTCCTCTTCACACCTTCATCTGGATGATGCTTTGACTCCAGAATGCAGTATCTGCCGTGCTGATACAAAGCAGGTGACCTGGTTTGCTTTCCAGGCAGTACAAATCAGGTGTTCACTGCTCTACAATGGCAGAGCTCGTGCTCTTTATACACACATTGTATGTTTAGCTTTTGCTTAGGTTTTTGGGTTTTGGCTTCATTGTTGTTTTGTTTTGTTTGTAAATACAAAGTCTAAATGGGGATGCTGGGAGATTGCTTACACACTCCATCATCTATGCTATTCAAACAGGCTCTCTTCTTTCTTATACCTCACTATAAGCACTTAATTGCCCAGCCAAAACAAATAGAAAATACTCTTGACATATCTAAAAATAAAACATTTAGGCATCTTCCTTCCAGATACAATTTAGTTGTGGTTTTAATTGCATATATCCTAACACAATATCTAAAAGTATGTAATTTTTGTACAAAAGAAGCCTCAACATGTTCCCACTCCCACACGAACCATAACCATGAATAACACTACTGACATTACACAGTGATTAGAATTACTTTGAATTATTCAAAGAAACACTTCCTCCTTGACCCTATGTCCCTCTGTGTATGAAAAGAAAGTCATATGGTGGAAATACTGTAGTAGAAACACAAGAATCAGCTGAACACATGCAAGTCCACTGACTTCCCAACAGATGTCCTAGCTGTTTTATCTGTGAACATGTTACTGAGAAGGAAGAAGAAAATACACCCTCTCATAATATTGTGCATTTCTTATATTTTACTGTGCTGTAAATACATCAAATTCTAGGATCTATTATACATATCATAGGTTGTCTAGGCTGCTGCAATTTATTAACAGATACAAAAATATGTAATTAACAGATTCTTTTGTTAACTGCTCTCACAGAATTATAGTAATAACTTACAGGATTAAGTAGGTTTGTGTCTGTTATGTCCTGTTTTACCCTTAAGCATGGGTCATTTCCTTCCAACCCTAAACCTAGAAGTGAAAGCTGCACATAGACTACCTAGGCTTCATACTGTGACTATCACCAAAATAGTCACAATAGTCACTGGCCTGCAAAGTGCTGACAAGCCAATAAAAGGTGATGAGAAATTTTGATTTTTGATGGTAAAATGGCTTTTTGAATAAGTTTCATTCCGGTGTTACTCTGGTGTGAGAAAGAACCCAAGGGCAGGTTTGCAGTAACAGAAGAGAACTAATTGTGCCAAGACACGGGCATGGTCCAGAAGGGACTTTGGCTCACACTGCAGGGAAGGACTGAAGCATGTTCACTGTATCTCCGTCCCCTGTGGCTTCAGTCTCCCTCATCTTTCTGTATGTCTCCAGCATCTGAACACAACTTAAAAAATAGCTGAGCAATTTGTTTCTCACGCAGCAAGTACCTCTATAAATGTCAATAAACCAGGCTTTCAGGAGACGTGGTGCAGTTGTCTTATCAAAACACTTCACACATGATAAAAGCATTTGGTATATATAAAAAAAACAATCTTTCCTTGCAGAAGAAACAGTTCCCAAATGTGTTTTATCGCAGTACTTTGGGCATGCAGTATACATCTCTGTAGACAGAGATTAATTTCTCATTCAGTGACACTTCATATTATCACTGGCTTCCTTTGATACTTCTGCTTTAAACTGGTAGTTAAGATATCACTAGTTCAAGGGAGTAAAGTGACTACAAAAAAAGCTGGAATCTCAGAGGACTCATGCTTGACAGTAAGAAAAAATACTCTTATCTATGTATGACTACATCCAATCTGGCTCATAGGCTCAAAGTATTACTTTCAGCTCAGATAGTTGAAATAGCACAAAGATTTCAGTGCCATGGCACTTCTACTGTAGAATTGCAGTATCATAATTGGAATTAAGACAAACTGAGGGCTTGGGATAACCTAGCATTTCAGGACAGAGCTGAGATGTACTGACATTGAAGTTTTAAGGATGAGATCTGAAAATGGAAGGTCTCCTGTCATCTCCTATTAGGAAATGTGAAGTGACAAGAGAGACTTTTGGGCTTGTAGTCATTCACTGTAGGTTCTAAGAAAGATGTGAAGTATTATCACCAACATGTGAATATGTGGGACTACACACACAAAAATGAAGCAGACTTAAAGCCCCCATCACAGGATTAGCAATCCATAAAAACCTGAGGACTTGGTGAGCTCTTTTTTGACTTGCTGAAATAATGTTTGTGGGCCAATCTGGATAGTCAGTCAGTCAGTCATGGTTAGGGTAAGGATTATTTGGCTTGGTGGAGGAGAGGTTGTGGGATATGTGGTAGACTAACCAGGGTCATTCTTTTGCTCATGAATGACAGAGACCTGGACTTACTTTGCCTAAATGTACTCCTTTAGATGTTAGATACTTACACTAAACCCACTGTGCAGGCAGGTTCCAGTCTCAGGCCATAGACAGAGAAAGGCAGCTGCAAAGGGAATTCTCACACGTCTCGGACACCTACTTCAGGATGGGATGAAGCACTGCAGCAAACTATTTCTCTCCTTCAGCTACAGAGAGATGGAAAAACAAGTGTATACAAGGTGTTTAACCTTCTGACAGAGCCAAAGGAGGAGAGTATGTTTCCACCAGCAGAAGAATTGATAGGTTTGTACTGAACTAAAACGACCTCTACATTTAGGCTCTTTAGATCATGGAATGATCCCCACATATCCTACATTTAGGTTCTTCAGATCAAAAGAGGACAGACAGAAGAATACTTTGAGTTTCCTCCTGCGCAGACATCCTATCGAGGGACGGCTCATTTAATGAGGCATCACTTAAGAGTCAGGCACAAGCAAATTACCAAAGCCCATTGCAGTGTTCCAGAGAACAGCTGCTCGCCCTGAAGGAACGCGGCGACTGATATATACGATGACTATCCACGTGTCGCAGGCGAACTACAGAGCTGCCGGCACACATCAAGGCATTCCTTTGCAATGTCACCTTAGCCAGAATTGCACATACGATCAACCATAACTGAACGACGATGTCCAGAAGGCGGCTGGGCACCTACGGGCTGACGCTACCGGAGGACACAAAACGCAACCCTCAAATGACAGCAGATACGAGGGATGAAAAAACAAGAAAGCAGTGAGATATCTGGGAATCCTGTGCGGCAATACTGTGCGGAAAAGCGGAGTAAGCATCGCACGCTTGTGGAAGAGGCGGCACGGGAAGCCTCTTCCACAGCGTGCGGGG